GTACGTGACTGAGCTGGGAAAAATAGATGGAACGTACAGGGAGATGTTTGAGGCATGGAATAGAGAGGAAAGGACGGTAGCTGTAGTGGGGCATAGGAGGTGGGTTGAAAAGGCGGGAAGGGATATCGTTAGGATAGACAGACTAGGGAAGCCATTTTTGAGCCACCTTTGGCAAAGTAGGAAGCAACGATTGGCCATCGGTGATCGGTCCTGTGGGCTCCGTCCTCTCGAGGACGCGTGGTCAATGGTCTAACCGCGAAGACATGCAAAACATAAGAGTACGCCCCTCCCCATGTCTTTCTCTTGCTCTCTCCGGCTCTTCTCTTGCACTTGCGGTAGTACCTTACCCGTAGCCCATAGTTGTCAGAATCCACAGCAGTTGTTCATGTCGTTCTATGTAGGCAGGAGCTCGTTCGGTGGTAGACGATACTCAAACACATCAACACACACGACCGCCCTTACAGGACCCTATTTGGTAGGAAAACTTCTTCCCTCCCCCCATGCACATCTTGAGAGAGAACAAAACGAGAGCCCCAACCATGTCTGATCCCCGTTCGCTGATGCTCGATCCATCCATCCCCCACAAACACGTTGCGTGCGTGTGCCGTGTCTATCAGGTTGGGAAACGCGATGGCCCTTTGCGCGATCGAGCTGTACGGGAAGCTGTACGCAGACGAGGCGTAGTAGTAGAACTTTGGCGGAAGAGAGAGACACACGAACGGCTATAGCTGGACCGGGGGGGCTATTTGGCGGCGGATGCTTGGCAGGATACTACCGTCCAAGGACAGATTTGGATGCCTTCTTGCTCTCTGTCTTTGTACCCTGTAGCCGCCACCGGACCCACTCATCACGGTGGTCGTGGTATTTCCGACACTGCTGTGCTGGAGTTTTTCTCCTTCGAAAGAAACGGCGCCGGGGGGTGGTTGACGGGGGCCCCGCCGTGCAAGAGTTTGGTTCGCCACGCCGGCATGCCAAGGCATATATCGGTGGTCCCCGCCGCCCGACGAAATACTGTCCGTAGCATAGGCGGCTCGTGTGTGTCACTCTCGATTATCTCCGTCCGACGCACGTCTCGGCTATCCGTCGCCATGTTGGACCCTCCGAATGTATCTCTTGTGCTTCGACTGCTCCCTGATTTATTGATGGCGTGTTGCTGTTCGTTCAGCGTACTGGTAGTGTTGCGAGAGCACGTCTTTGACGCTGTCGTAAGGGACTTGGGGAGGCTTGCTAGCGTGTAATCGAATCTTTAGCTGCGGCGATTCTTGCGGTCTGAAAGATGTCCTGTTGACCGGTGACGGCGGTCATCGTCGACACGTTGCTAGGAGCATATCTGCCGATTCGAAGCGCCGGCTGACTGTTCCCCTGTTTGTTCATCAAAGGGTTGTTCTACGCACACCGCTGCGGTGAGCCGGCACGCACGGAGCGTTGTTTGTGGGATTCTCGCAGGGAAAGGAAGGTCGATTGCCCGAACGTCGACTCTTTATGTACCTGTAACCGCCGTGGTTTCATTACAGAATGAGCTTTGACAGAAATTCTCTTGTTGTGGTGGTTCGGTATGTTTCAGCAGGGCGTGCTGGAAACCAAGCAAACACATCGTCGCCGTCGGTGTTGTGGTGATGAGTCCACCTCTTGTGCGCGGACAAATACGAACAACGGTTTGGACGTCTTTTTTGAGGGGGTGAAAACGCCTTATACCTGAACCCCAGTGTTTGAAGCAGCCTTGCGCGAGAGAGATGGAACCCCCTCAGTCACAGACAATGATTTCGCGATCACGTCAAATAGAGCCCTTCTTTGGCGCGGTTGTTCCAGCACCGGACAGGATAAAACTTTGTTGATATTCCCCCATTTTTTTGTCTTGAGCAGATACGTCCATATTATTCAGCAGCAGTCCTGAGGAACATGCAACGGTGATATTTGAGCACGAAAATATCTTGGTGATCCACGGTGTGCCTTGGTCCATCGTGCGCCCTTCCAAAGCACGCCCAGTCAGAAGAGAGCGGCATTTGTTGGAGAAAATGAGCTAGAAGTGGCGTTTGCTCTCGGCGTCCTCTCCAACCGAGGCACACGACGCGGCACACAAGCGCGGCTCTTGCTGTTATGTTAGCCCTTCCCGCCGAATATGGCATCGTGACGTCTGATACAACTGCTCCAAACATGTCCCAAATTGGGCTTTCTACTCGGGTAAAAAAAATCAGTGCAATTCTTGGTGACAGGAAACTGTGACATACATGGAACAAACAGCAGCGATGTGGTACGGGCTAGGACAACTCGGACGAACACAACGCGCGCATCAGCAAAAGCCACACCTCACAAAAGTACACAACACAAACAAAAACATGCTGGCCACGCTTGGGCTCGGGCGTACGGCGTGTTTCGTCGGCCGCGGCTCCCGGAGTGTACTTCTCCGTTTCTTTAGCCGCGGCGTCATTACAACACGCCGAGCTCCAGTCCCAGTGTACCCTACTTTACTGCACCATACGCAAAGCCCAGTCGCGCCCCCCCCCCCCCCTCCTCCGGTGAAAGAGCTGAGAGCAAGATCAACTACATGCTTCTCTTGCCCATCCCCCACAAGTCACATCTTATGAAGTGACGGAAATGGACCGGGATTCAGCCCGGGGGGGGCGCTAAACAACAGAAGACATGCCTGGAGCTCGGTAAGGAAACAGCAGGAAAATGGCGAATCCATCCAGCAAAACACCTAACAACTACAACCTATCCTATGGGGGGAAATAGATGGAAAGAATAGCAGTGTGACAAGAAGACCACCTGACTATGCTGTCCCCAGATCCGACTCTCTTCTGGTACTTACGGTTGCTGACATATTGCCACAACTGACTGAATACCGGCACCGTTACTCTGCCTTTGCCCCAACGAATCACAGCATGCGGCCTTGAGAGCGTGACATAGGCACACGAGCCGCTGTTCGAACACGCCACGCCAAGTTGTCACTGGGATGTAGACGTCACAGCATACTCACTATTCGGCGCCTACGCCTACCCACCCCGTCCCCCTGCTTTTGCCCCCGCCCTGCACACGCGTGAACGAAAAAACTCTGCCTTACACGATAGTCTAGCGAACCACTGCTACCATAACATTGCGCACTTCGCCGATACCGGCTGTTTTGCAAAACATAGCGTTGTTTTTCGCACAACAAGGAGAAAACATCCATCTCCTCGTCTGGGTGTGCTTGTTAGGGCGGGAGCACTAGCCTCAGCAGGCACTTTTCTCGATGGGCTCCCCAGACCTGTCCCACCGCCGCATCATCAGAATCAGTCAAATGGCGAAACATGTTGGTGTTTAAAGTTTTCATCACGGAGGTTTGAGCGAAAGCAGTTAGTTGCCTGCATAGAGGGAAGAATAGCGTAACACTAGGTACCTCTGAGTGAGCTAGAAATCCTTAGCTATCTGCCGTGAAAACTTAACTCGGTTTTGTTGTATTGGCTCAACAAGTCTCGGTCAGACCGTTTCCGACAGCATGTGCCGTTTCCAACATGAGCACCACTCATGAGCCCGAGCCTAAGAATCCTTACACTAGCACGTACCATACATCTACTTGTAGCAGAACTTTAGGAACTGCTGAAAAACCCAGCCTCGGTCACAACTATAGAAGATATTCGTCAGTGCTGGCGCAAGCTGTATCGAGACCACCCGCACACCCCCCCCCCACCTCTTGGTTGTCTGAAGGAGGGTTAATTCTTCTGCGACGGTCGGATGAATTCCCACCAGCTGTCGCAAGTCGTCCATCGTCATGCCCAGGCGGATTCCTACGCCGAAGCCTTGCATCACCTTAAGTTTAGCACCGTTCAGTTGGGTGTCAGCAACACAGGGCGTTCGCGCTCGAGTACAAGAAGGGCAAAAAGAAACAGTTTTCGCGAGATGAACAAAGTAACCTCGTTGTTGCTTCCGCCCAGAGAGCTGACAGGTACGATTTTCCCCTCAGATGCTATTTTTTATTTCTTGTGCCTACATGTAGATGGCAAAATTGCGATTCGGCACGGTCTGACGGTGTCCGCCCAAACGAAAAACAATGCGCGATGCATACACCTGGGAAGGAACGTCGGTGCTTTCTGGGCTGCATCTGGTCGCGCTCACCTCGCCGGCGTTAGGCCCCAAGAAGTGTAGACCCAGCACCCGCTGACTGTCCTTCAAATCACACACGGCCTGAACCAAAGCAAGCAAGCGAGCAATACGCGGAACGAAACACACGCGCACACACAAACGTGGTACCAAAACACCTGTTAAAAGGCCATGATAAAGTGTGAATTCAAGCACCAAACACACCAAGTGAAGTATTTATTGCGAGGAATCGGTGAAACACCAAATCAGTGTGAAATTTTAGCACCTGCGGTGTAGACCTGCGGTGGCACCATCGGCCGTTTTTTCGTTCCTGATTCATCGCTGGACAGGATAGCATCGTTGCGCTCGCAGGGATCTGTCGCATCGCTGAACTTCACATTTCGGTCCAAAAGAATTCCCTGTCCAGCATGCAGATACTGCGGGGCTCCACGGAAAAACGCTACTCGAGATAACACGTCTGGCTTCTTCGGGGACGTTTGAGAAATAAGACTACAGAACGGGCCCCCAGTCAACAAGTACTACTATTTCGTTGAGAATTTGAGGTTCAAACTTACCTGTACACGACAGTGGTGGCGACGAACAACAAGAAACTGAGCCTCGACCTGATGTTGACGTCTCCTATCACCAGGCCCGTTCTGTATGCTCACAACCCAGGACGTACTTCACTCGTGGAAAACGCGTATGGTATATACCAAGGTATATCACGCAAACGACCACCCAATCCAAACGGGATCTAACCACGCTGCCCAACACTTTCAAGGAAGCAAACGCGTCAACCCACAGCGTACAGTGGTCCAAGGCTATGTATGTATGGGCAAGGAAATGGCGAGCCTAAACGAGAAACCACGTCTACCAAAGACCAGCCGTTCCCATCCGCGACAAGGACATCGGATCACGGTGGGTGTTCAAGGTCGAGCGCGACTACGCCTTCAAGGCAAGCGTTTTCTGTCAAGGTGATGCTCAGCGGCCAGGAACCGATTGCGGGGCAACCTTTGCACCGGCTTTTGCCGCATCGAGAGTCAACGGATACTGATGGCCATCGATCGCCTGCCATTTTGAGTGCGACATTTTGGACGTGAAGACGGCGTTGCTTCGAAGCCCCATCGACACGCCGACATACGTGCGACAAGCTCCTGGCTTACGAGAAGCTCGACGCCCAACATTAATCTTTCATCATTAAGGTGAAGCACGCAGTGTGCGGGCTTCGCACAGCAATGACATCTTACATTGGACAAGTTTCTTAAGGCGATGGGGTTCAATGCCACAAGGACGGATCTGTGCATGTACATCTTAGAAATTGGGGGCGGATACTGTCTTTTCACCATTTATGTCGATGACATTGCCCTGACACCGCCTGCCAAGAAGCTGCTCGTCAAGGAGAAGCAGCAGCTTGTGGACCGTTTCGCCATCTCGTAGAGGTGTCTCTCATCCTAGGGATGAAGATCACACGCGATCGAGCTAAGGAGACCCTCCGGATCAGCAATCCTGGCAAGACTGCAACCCAGTGAGGGCGCCAAGCATGGGAGGTGCCTCAAGCAACGGCCTGAGTTGGACATCGTACACAAGCGCGAGAATTTCAAGATCCAAGCTTGGGGCAGATGCAAGCTTTGCTCAAGACCATGTGGAGGTCAACAAGTGGATACCTCTTCCTTATCTGCGGAGCGCCGATTTCATGGGTCTTGGGCGGTAAAAACATGCCGTATTTTCCAAGCTTTAGTTTTCCAAAATTAGGAAGTCATCAACAACTTTGGAAACTTTTAGTAAAGTTTTGGAAGTGAGTAGGGCTCAGAAAATTCGGAACGGTAGCTTCCATATTTTTGGAAAGGTACCAATTTTTTCGCCTTCGAACTCGCTTCGCAAGCTTCCCTACTTGGGAAACGTTCCAAAACTTTTGGGAAAAGTGCTCTGGATGAAGCGGCCCTCGTCGCTTTAGTCGCTGACTGCACTCAGCACAACAAAGGTGGAGATGGTTTCGATCTCCTATGCAGCACGCCAATGTTACGATATGTTGTCGGAGTTCGGGCTCCACAATCAGCGCAGCACGAGAATGTTGCCACATTCAAGAAACGTTCTCGGAATCCGGGCTCCACAATCAGTTCAGCAACATCCGAATCGGAAATGATTTCGACCAGGTGCTTTGGGTAAGCAACAACTCCTACAGCGCCAGGACGAAGCGCCTTCAGCCGCGGAAATGGTTCACAACGGAGCTCATCGAAAAACGGCCGTTTTGAACGCGTACCACGTCCAGATCTACCTCTTCATAGAGAGCAATTCGAAGGCCATCCATAGAAAGCTACGTGTAGTCGATCAGGTTCTGGCGTACTCGGACCAAGGAATGAGAATGTTTGGAGCAGCGGGGATCTTCACCCAGAACGCAATCTGGGACACACTTCTCTCTACAGGCACAACGGCATCGAGAGAGGCAGAAGCACAAGAACAACGTGGCTACACAGTGCTGGCTGCTGCAAGACTTTCAAGAATCATCTGTGCAGCTCAACCATGGCAATAGGAAACAACTACCGTATTGTGCTGCACTTGCAACTGCTTGGAGTGAGTGGAACTGTTCGAGACATCATTCGTGGATAGATGCACAGGACGCAAATGGTTAACACCGGTCTCACGACACGAGGACTGGACGGACGGATTGCAAGGTCTGGCCACGGGAGAAGCACCCACTCGCTCTCACTTCGCTTTCAGACGCCATATCCCCAAGCTGATGTTCTGCCAATTATAAAACAGTTTGAAGGCTTACGATCTCCAGCACATGAGAATGTATATTGCTTTCTTTTAAAAGATATTTTTAGTTTCAAGAATTGGTGCCTTTATTTCCTTAATTTGAAGACTTAGGTCTTCTCTCTCTGTCCGCTACACCAACAACAACCTCAAAAGCCAATACTTCGCGTTTTTTCCATCAAGCGGACCTTCGAAGGAACGCAAAAGCAGATAAAACACCGACGCGCTGCGCGAAGCGGCACCCACGCTCGGCGAAAAGATCGATGCTTCCCGGGCGGACGTCCGGGAGTATGAGCTACGACGTGAACCCATTGGGTGTGGACGAGTTGGGCGCTAGGGCGTGGGAAGGACGATCGGAAGAACAGCAACGGCATGCCTCAGGCTCTGCTGCAAGAGCCGTTCTTCCAGAAGGCCCGTGGAATGCCGTCGTTGTCCATCCCATCGTCCTTCCCAACCCCAGCGTACAACTCGTCGACGACAGGCTGGCGTTGTAGTTCCCATTCCTTAACGTCCATCAGGGAAGCATCGATCTTGTCGCCGATCTCGGATGCCGATTCGCGCAGCACATCGGTGTTGTTGTTTATCTGTTCTTGCGCCCCTTCAAAGGTCCGCTGAATGGAAAAAAGCGACATAGCTTGAGATTGTTGAAGAGCTTGAGGAGATGGGGTCTGAAATCGAAGCGAGAGGGTGTGGGTTTTGTCTTCGGCCCAATCTTGCAATGTGTACAAACCACCGAACGAAGGAGGCGTGCGTCCAATAGAAGCCCTTCTAGGAGACGAGGTTTGGACGACCCTTACACGGCAAAAGCCCGGCACACAGACAGGCGGCCTAACGTTTAGCACGCAAAAGTCGGATGATTGAAGAACCGTGCTTGGCACTCGAGCGAAGATAGTCACTGTCACTCCTCTTCTCGCCGAGGACAGTACGGTAGGGAAACAGATTGTTTTCTGTAACCCTTGGTGCAAGACTCAACCCGGGTGTCCACCTGCTTCCGGGTTCCCCACGCGCTATCGAAATCAGCCGGTTGCATGCGTGTCGTTCTTTTGCCGAAGACAGCCGGTGGGTCGCCCGGAACAAAGATCCTCGCCTACCGTAGATCCGTAACATAGCAAACAAGCACAGACGGTGTCGATAATGTGCTTACGTCACTGACTTCCAGAGTACGCGGCTGTCTGATGTGCGGTTTGGACAGACGACAGATTCTACCGCAAGGTGTGACACCCACCCACCATCTGAATGTCGTCACGAGCCACCGGCGCGCTTGACTGCATCTCGGCGCGTTTGACACACATCTCGCCACACTTGACATCTCGGCGCAGTTTGTCACACATCCCGTCACCACATCCCACGTTTGGCGGGATGTGTGACAACTGCGCCGAGATGCCAAGTGCGGCGACATGTGTGACACTTGCGCCGAGAAGCAGCCAAGCGCGCCGGTGGCGCACGACAAGGCCCAGGTGTTGAGTGCCACACCTGGTGGCACAACCTGTCGTCCGTCCACACCGCGTATCGGACAGCCACGTGCTCTGGAACTCAGTGACGTAAGCGCAATATCGACACAGTCTGTGTTCTTGACTGTTATGTTACGGACCTAGGCGAGGATCTTTGCTCCGGTGACTTACCGGCTGTCCCTGGCAAAACAACGACACACATGCAACCAGCTGATTTCGATCGCCCGTGGAGAATCCGGAAGCGGGTAAACACCCCGCATACATGTCTATTCACGGCAACACCATTAGCGTACCCTGACCGAAGTGGGAATTCCCGTGCCACGAGTCTATGTACCGTAAGGAGCGAAAAGATGGCACCCCAAAAGACCGATTTTCAAAGCTCGATTGCTCCACAAACAAGGTTGTGCCAACACCAAAAACGTTGGTTTTGGATCATCTTGTCGAGGCCTTTCCGTCCACGCGATGGGCTCTTTCTGTACCCCCTATGCTGTGGAGCAAGCGAGCTCTGAAGACCGGTCTTCAGGGGGTGCCATCTCTCCGCCCCTTACGGTATCCACGGCGAATTTATTCTCTGCACGTGGCATGTGTTTCCACATGGGATATCGCAGCACTCGCGTAGATAGTCGGCACAACGGATTGTTGAGTACGGGCATCGCTTGGTTGAGGAGGCATGTTAGAACATTTGTACCACCGCAGTTTCAGCACTAGGTGGTCAGCAAGACTGCTGCAAATATTGGCATTGTCGCCATGCCATGTCGGTTATCATACACGCACGGAATAAGAAACACTTCTAAAGAATGTTGATGATCTCCAGAAGAAAGTACATCTTACAATTGCAAGTTAGTCAGACTTGCGTGCGTGGAAGGATGTGTATCGTCGCAAGTGCACAAATGAATGATCGTATGCGCTCAGCAGCCGAATTTGCGAGTAGTTCAGGTGTTCAAGCTGTATTCTGCGTCACGCCTGTGCAAGTAATCACTTACACTTGTCCGTACAGTACTTTTTGTGCATGCGTGGCAAGTTCGAGAGCATGATGTTGAAGTAATCCTTGCCAGCAACGTATAATATATTTTACCAGTACCGTCTTCGGAACACGTGTGATTGGTCGAAGTTGGGGATAGTTGTATTTTACTATATCGAGGATGGGCGCGCACCCGCCCCATCCTCTCACTGGGAATCTCTGCCTCTCTGCAGCCTTCTCTCCCGTGCGTTTTCTCTCTATCTTCTTTCTGGTCCGCCCTTATCAGCAACTACATTTCGACCAAACCATATTCTTCTCCTTTAGACTTTCTGCGTACGCACAGCCAAACCTCTCGCGGTGATGAGTCCTGCGGCATAACAAGTGAGTTCGTTCTCCGCGCTGCAGCTGTACAGGATACGTACAGTTTCACACGCAGCCCATGAGTTTTACCTTTAACTTAAGACTATAAGATTGCACAATCGAGGTTCTCTGCTTTTGTACATCAGTGTGGTCATTGCTGCACACGCACGTTGTGCATGCGCGACACACTGCCGAGAGAGCACGCACCAACTCCATAGCAAAAACGACACATCTTCTCGACAACAGTCAGCAACGCCACTTTCGAGAACAGGTGCGAGAGTGTCGTCAACATCCACAAGCCTACATACATCTAAAAAAAAAACATCTCAAGACAGTAATGGGGGGCGACATGGAATCAGGTCGTGCTGGGCACATACAATTTTGGTAAGTGTTGCTGTTACTGAGGAGGGAGTAAAAATCACCTTCACGTAGCAGGCGTTTTGTGGTCGCTCCGAGTTCATCTGCCACTCGAGAGGCGTGAAAGCGGAGTGGAAAACCTCCACGTTCTCTTCCCCTGTTCATCCATGGCAGCAGCAGGCAATACATTTCACGCCAAAACGAACGCAGAAGATGCGCGTGAGACCGACGAGAGACCAAAATCACGGCAATAGCCTCGCGATTTCAAGGAACGAGAATCACGCATGGAATGCAACGCTCAGATGTTATTACTGTTTTATCCTTCGTCTCTCCAAGCACAAATAATATTTTCTTCCGTCAGGTGGGTTGACTCCACGCATGAACTTGAAAACAAATAGACCGGCCGTGGAATACGTCCACGTTCACACCCTGGGGGTAAGGCAGGCCTCCTACAGTAGGTCTTACTCGGGTGTTCGATGGCTACCACGCCGAAGCTTGTCATGTTACGGCTCTAGTTAGGGCTATCATGACGGCCCTCGTGGGGTGTTCATCATGACCATTGTGATGCCCCGCAACACAGCAGCCAAGGTGCTACTGTTCGTCAGTTCAGCCTTCAACGCAAGTACTTCAATCGCGGAATGACTGTTGCCCTTTGCCCCCCCGCCCCCGCCCCCACCTTCAAAAGCCTCCCTCACCAAGGGTTTCTATCGCGTCCTCTTCGGAGAGGCCACAGCACCCGTACTCCAGGGGGGTGAACACGGTGGTGCACACGTTGCTGTAGTCCATTGCCGAAGCTGAACCTGGAACAAAAAAACATGAAACGGACGGCAGTACACATCAAGCACACGTACATCTACCGGGGTGGGGGGGAGGGGTGTCTAAAATGAAACGTCCTTCACACCCTGGAAGCAACAAAGAAGAAGAAGGCAAACCATCACCAAGCACACGTACAGGGGGGAAGGGGGGGTCAAAAAGGAAGTCTGTCACATCCTTCGGCAGAGCAACCAAGAGTGGCACGAGAGAGAGGACACCAGCGGAGGGGTGGGGGTGCAGGTGGCGGACCAGGAGAAACATGGTCGTGTGGTACTCTCTTCTCCGATCCATGACGTGTGGTGTTCACACGGACAGGCTACAAAATACCGTAAATGACACAATATAAGAAACCCCGGTGGTAACATTTTGGGG